GGGGGGTGAGTGTTCACTGTACTGTATTGCAACCAAGATATATTCGTATCGAGAGACATCTATTTTTACTTCCTTGTTGAGAGTCAGACGCGTCTTTTTCTGAGATATTGAAACAAAACGATATAAAAAATCCTTTGAAACAGAATTAACACCACGCCCTCACATAACGAATAACAACATGGTAAAAAAGTAGAATTGCCGCAAAAAAACGAACAAAGGACAAAAAGAAAGCAGTTTGATATGAAAAACTAGCTCGGATAAAACAAAGAAATGTTTTGGTTTGGGTCTGATATGGTCACAGTGAGGGTTTTTTTCTGTTTTTTTTTTGTTTTTGGGGGGGGGGGTCTGGAGGTAAAGGGCCACATTCTCTTTCCTCAGATCCGGGTCAGCTCAGATCAACAGGAAGTCTTTGTATTACTTCTTCTTTTAGACTTGTCTTTATCTCAAGTGCACGCCTGTCGCCCCTGTATTTAATTCAAGTTACAAATATATCAGATAATATTGCAAGAAGAGTACAAATCTAAAAATCCCCAAAACATTCCAAAAACAAAGCAATAATAGCTCGATATATTTTTTTTAATGGAAAGGAGGAAGGCAGTACAAAATGAAGTATTTAAACACAATCTTGCAAACTCCCACAATGAATAAAAACAGTTAATCTTACAGGAAAAAAACAACAAAACAAACAAAAACTAAAACAAAACAAACAAAAAAACCAACAACAAAAAAATAAAGCAAAAACAAAGCAACCAAACAACCCCCTCCCCCTAAAAAAAAAGCCGAACTATCCCGGAAGACGTGCAGACGAAAGACCCTCGGAAATGCAACATTTATTAGCAGCAGATTAAAAAAACCAACAAAGGAAAATAATTCAAGTAAATCGCCTTGCGCATGATTCTTGTGGAAGAGATCCCGTGTTGTTTCATGAAGCTGCAAGGGCGATAATGCTCTTAACTACCCGCTGCGAGAGAGGATTACCTCCCTTGATTCGAGAACTTCCTCCTTGAACGCAGCATTGCAAAATCGCCTAGTTTGGTGGAGAGGTTATGGCGGACAACCCGTAATCCTGATGTTCTGGGTTCACCTCCCGACGGGTTTTAACCCCCCTCAACGATATTTTTTGGGGTGTTTTTTTAGGGAGCTTCTATGATTTTCTCTTTCAGTGGTCGCAGGTGCTGCTTTGGTTGTGAACAAATGGTGATCTTTTACGCCCCTTCTTGCACGGAAAGGCTGTCTACGAGGCATTACATCCGATTGTATTGTCCATGACAATGAAAGACACACATTGACACACGTATGACCGTGCACACTAACACAATATCAGTCACAAAGACTCACTTCCACACACGTTTTACTGTTTGACACTATATTTACCATAAAGATATATTTTGACACACGCAAAACCGTACACTTTGACACAATATGAATCACAAAGACATTCTGACACACGTTTGATCATGTAACACAATTTGTATAATACAGACACACTTTGACACACAAATAATAGTCTCACAAAGTATGTATCACAAAGACACCCCGTAACACATGTTTGAGTGTTTGACAAAACATTTATCTCAAAGGCACCCTTTGACACACGCTTGACTGAGACACAATATATATATCATAAAGGCACACCTTGACACAGTTATGGCCGGTTGACATAATATTTATCATAACGACACAGTTTGACATACGTTGACAGTTTGACACAGTATCTATCATATAGACACACTTTGAAACACGCCTAACCACCAGTACACTTTGACACAATACTAATCATAAAGACATATTCTAACCTAAGGATGACGTGTACACTTTGACAAAATATTAATCATAAAGACACAATTTGACAAAATAATGACCAAGATATAGATCTACTGAAAAGCCATGACTACACCTTAACAATTCAAAGTCGAGATTGCTTCCCACGCACCTTTGGGGATTGGAGCCAAGTTCGTCTGCACTGTAGCCCAGCTGGATATCAAATGACCTGTGAGGAGAAGGGTTTAAAATAATAACAATAATGTGAGGGGAGGAGCGACCCTTGATTTTTGCCGATTTTGGGTCAGGCTATGCACATTGAGATGTTGACTGATTTTTGAAGATCAACCAGTTCTTTGTCTAAATATAGTTTGGAAATAATTGAGAAAGTCTTTATTCTCCTCGTGAATTGCCTTTGAAAACATGAGGGTGGGTTAATATAGTGAATTTTCACAATAACTGTTGTTTTTCGAAAAAAGAGGTCAATGTTTTTGCAGTTTTTCCCTACTCCTTCCTTAGTTTTTATCCCTTTGACATAAAACTTTCAGGAAACATAGACAGTAAGGCTGCCATCAACGTAACGGAGAAATATTTGCGAAACAAAAATACTTTTCCATTGGCAAACGATTACGTAACCAAAATTTAGTCATTTTTAAAAAACATTTTGGAAAAACTCTCTTTTTTTTCTTTTGCGTTTATTGGAGAAAAAAAACCTCACTGTTACGCTGAGAGGGTCTCGTTTAGGTATACTCTCACCAAATTTGGTCGGTAAATAAGAAAGGCGTCAGGATTTGAAATTCTTTGTTTATTTTCAAGATGGCAGCCATTTCCATAGCAACCGCTTTAGCTATACCAAAATAAAATTGCTTATCAAAAGAAATTACTAGAGCTATGCCTAACTTATATGGGTACCTAGATTTGATCTCGGGCAACAAACATAGAAAATGGTCCTCAAGGGTCGCTACTCCTGATAGTGTTGAAAAAGGGGAAGGCCGTAAACCTAAAATGCATGACCGAGAAAGTAGCTGATTGCTGGATAAAAGCATACCGTCTTAAGGCGACTCATACCTAGTAACTGCACTAGTTTGGGATGTTATTTTGTTCCAATATTACTTGACACCATGTGCAATATCGAAAGTGCTGTCCC